CATGGACATTGAAATCACGCAGGACAATCAGTCTAAGGTGTTCCAATGCCCAACCTGACACGGCCTCCACCAGGGATGGCAGGCTGCTGGCCGATTCTTTTTTCATCAAAAAACCAAAGATAAAGTAAAAGCAAAGACAAGTCTTACCTTACAGTAATTATGTTTTGTTGTCATAATTATTACTTTGTTTGGTTTTTAATGTTTTTGCTGTTTTGCTGTTTTATTATCTGCACTATGTGATTATTTTTAAAAGGGAATCTTTTTTTGCCTTACATTTTGTACAATAATGAAAACGTCCTCTATTCTTAAAAAAATAAAAAGGTGTTCAGTCCTTTTATCTTGGTCACATCTAACTATGGGTCTGGCTATGGGGATGGTGGAGGCCAGATAATAATAATTTTTAATGAAATCCTAGTTTTACATTTAAAACGCTAGCTTATCAGTAGGCTGACATTAAATTGTTCAGTAATTTGTCAGTTTTTTGTCAGTATTTGGTCAGTTTTTTTGGAGTTTTGATCAGTAAAATCAGTATTTTTGACCCTCTGACTAGTTTCCACCCCTGCAGTTGCATCTGCAGCACATATGAAAAGAGGTGGAAGTTGAGAGAAATTGCTCAAGTTAATTTGGGTTGCTTTTTATCTTTGCTAAAGGTATAAAGATCTTTTGTCTTAGTTGTATGTGTTAGTCAAACCCAGAGACATTGGAGGATTGGGACTAAACATCAAACCAGCATTCCATATTTTATAGTAATAAATAAAAGTGCATTATATTCTGCTGATGGTTTATGCTTACAACTAAATTAAATTAAATTAAAACTGAATTTCTGGCTACTGAAGATTTACTAAGCAATAAAGAAAAATATATGGGCCTGGATATATAGGGAGATCCATGTGTTTAGGTAGCATGGCTTATTTACTAGCATTACTGAACGGTTGTGTTTATACACACCATCACGAAGGCTGCAATTTGGGTTGGCAATAAAAATTTGTACTTGTATAAGGAAACTCTTGTTTGGATTAACCATGCTGAACAACTACACTGTCACAATCTATAAAATTTAGTAGTTAATGAAAATGGTAAGACTGCGATCATACATTGATCCCATTGATTTCACAGACGTACCTAAAGTATAGTGTAGGTTTGCTGGGTAAAGTTGTATTGTTTTCTTGATCTGACTGCCATAAGTCTAAGGTATCAAAAGCATCCATCCAAGTATGAGAGTGATTATTTTTAACTCATTCTTATCTTTGTGATGGAAACTGGTAAAATGAATGTAAACGTAAGCAATCACTTATGGCATTGCATAAGAATTTTACCAATGGTTTGTGTTTACAACCAAATTTTGGACAATCCATTGTTTTATTAATATTCTAGCCAACTGGTATGGTGTGGTACATTGACTTACATTTGCAGAAAGCTATTTTCAAGTGAAAATTTTCTTTGATTTCCCCCCCCTCTCTGTACTAGACCAATGTGAAGGGTTTCTATCGCACTCTGATCAGTTTCTTGGCTCACAGTAGCTTAACGATGGTTGTCTTTGCACTTTCAATATTATCAAGTCTTACGCTAAATGAAGAAGTTGGAGAAAAGGTAAGTGTGCTGTCTGTTTTAAAATAAGGTTGTGCTTTACGCACAACATTTTTACAACGAATAATATTTTTGGCTGGATGTGGAATTACACCAGCATTTTGTTATAAGGGAAGTGTTGTGAGCCTGTTTTACTATGCGTATCTTTTTACAGCCCCATTACTGTAATTAACATTAGTTACTGCTACCACATTTCAGGTTTTAGGTTTGCCCAGATATAAATAGTTGCATTCTCTTTACAATGTAAAAAACAGAATTGTTTGTTTTAGCTTTTCCATTCCAGAAACATTCATCAGACTTTCCAGTTGATATTCAACATTCTTGTGAATGGAGATGGAACACTTACAAGGAAGTATTCTGTTGATCTGCTCATGGATCTCCTGAAGAACCCTAAGATTTCAGATTATCTTACAAAGTATGATTTACACAATACATTTATCAGTTTTTTTGTCAAATCAGGATATTTTTCAAGATGTTTTTCTGTATGCTTTTACATGTTACCTGTCCAAATAAATATAAATAAATATATAAGAGAATTGTAAGTTTTCAAGCTTTGAAAATTCTTTCCATGAAAAACTCCATCCAAATAGAACTTGCACAGCAGTGAGAAAGTTTTAGCCTTCTCTTTGTTTGCTGCGCTGATTTTCTATTTTCAGGGACTTCCTCACACAGAAGAATGTTTGAATATATGATCATCTGTCTGTTGGCAAGAGTACAGTCTAGGCCTACATTCCATTGTCTTTTCCTACAGCTCTGCACATTGAGGGTTCTTTGTGGTGAATGGATCAGCATTGTCCATGTACAAATGTGAAATTCTGAATATCATTATAAGACGTGCTTATCTGCAGCATTAAGAGGATGGGGCAAATTCTGTTTCCCTGAACTGAAATCTGTTGTTTTGCTTAAGTGGAATGGTCTTATTAAAATAATGAGTATTGGCTCTTTAACTCAGTGTGCCACGAACTGGATATTTGTCACCCAGATCCCAAATATTTCTTTGGTATGTACTTTCTGCAGATAGCATTTTTTACTACAGCAAGCCTTAGAATTAATGCATCTGTATCATGACCCATTAATTGTAACTAGTGCATCAATTAGAAATGGGTTATGAACAGTGAAAATGTTTCATGTGGACTTATATGAAATTCTGCTTTAGTACTTCAACCAAAACAGATACATTTCAACCAAAACAAATGAATTTCTATTTTATGTGTGCGCGCTGATGTAGGTATGAACATTTTAGATCATGCGTCAATCAAGTATTGGGCTTGCTTCATGGAAGGGACCCTGATTCTTCAGCAAAGGTAATTTTATAGTAATAAAATCCAGCTATGTAATTATAAATACCTTTATAGGATCCAGATATCATGCATTTCTTCATTAATTCCAGCTCACCCTTACTGTAAGAAATTAAAGCCAAGCCTTGGAATGTTGATTGCAGCTACAGATATTTACAGATGTTGGGCATTTAGGGTTGTGTTTCATTGCAACACCTACAGTGAGCTTAAACATAATTATAACTATGGCATATATCTCGTGTTACTGTTCTTTAAAAAAAACACTATTTGCAGAATAAACCATATCCCAGCTGTTTTCTAGGACAAATCTTTTTCATTGTACAAACCTTTCATTTACACATATAGTTACATAAGCATCTGCAGTTTTGTCCCAGGGAAGTCTCAATTGTATAGAAAATTGCATTTCTTTGAATAATACTTGTGGTATACCTGTGAGGAACATTCTGATGTTCAGTTTCTCTCTCCAAATTAGTAGATGTTTCCAAAAGACAAAAGTGAGAACTGTCTCTGGTGTATAGACCAGCTACCCATAGATCAGAAGTAGAGAAGAGTTTGCATACAGAAGATTCTAGGTTCAATCCAAAGTATTTCTATTTACAGGCTGAGTAAGATCTCTGCATGGTCAGAATAGCCAGCACTGATCAGTGTGATTCAGTATAAGGCAGCTTCATGTGTAATTTTCTGTTATTTCCTGCTGGAAAGGTAGGATTTTTGGTGGAGAAAACCAACATTTTCAGCTCAGCTCACTACCATTATTCGGGGGGAATAGGGGAAAACAATTTGTTAATGTTAATCCTTTGTTATAATACATAGGCATTTAAAAATGCTTTGCAGGAGAAATCTGAACCAGGCTTTGATACTGCTGTTACGAATGTTTTGCTTAACAAGGTAGAAAACACATGGAACTGATTTTTCCCCCTTTGGCCAGGTATTGGAGTTACTTCTTGCCTTCTGTTCAGTACCAGAACTCCGTCATGTCTTGTGTCAAGCAATCCTGGAGCCAAATATGGCAGGCTGTGGAAGCACAAGACTTGCATCTCGATCCAAGCCTTCAGATCCATCTGTTCTTCTAGTGCACTGGTCAAATCAGCCACTGGAAGCATCTGAAAACTGCTCCACTTTGGCCTTGGAGCTGTTTAGGGAGATTTTTGAGGTACCAAATTCTTTTAATATTGAGCTGTAATCATTTCTCAGTAATAGATTGGGATGCTTGCTCTGCTGTCAGCATTTTATTTGAGACAGTTACCAGTTTCACTTCTAGCCATTTTGTGGTGGATAAGCTGCACAGATTAGCAGGTCTAGCCTAGGTGTTGGCTGACTGCTGTGGCTGGCCAACAGGCCCCGTGATTCCTGCATAGCAGCTGGAAGCCTCCAACAGCCCAATGGGAAATAAATACAATTGGGCCAGAAGTGGTGAACTGCTGCCATTGGGGGAGGAGGGGACAGTTGGACGGCCCAGATGCATAAAGGGAGACCAGAAAGGCAGGTGAGGGAGGGAAGAAGCTGTGGGGACCATATGAGCCCATGGGGATGGGAGCCAAAGTGCCAGCCACGGCAGAGATGGACCTGACAGCTGAGGAAGAGCTAGACGAGGAAGCTGGGGAATGCTGCAAACAGTGGAGGTGGTAGCAGCGCAGATGGTCACAGCAGGAAGTACCCATAGGAGGAGCCAGCAGGGGAAAGCAACAGCAGTGCCAGGACCCAATGGGGAATACCAGCAGAGGAGTGCAGTGGGAACAGGAAGGCAAATGGGTTCCAAGGCCGGAGTGGCTCCAGTGTGGTGGATGAGGCTCGATGTAAGGGACCTGCAAGGAACCTTGTGGTGGAAACCAGGGGTGGGAATGCTGAGGACTAGCCACATGGCATTTGCGGATTGCAGCCATCTTAATAATGTCCTAGATACTGGGGAAGAAAGGACACCAGTGCAGGGGTTTGGCAGGAGTGGACTGAACTGGGAACTCAGGAGGTCAGGCAGCAGCTGTAATAAATAAAGTAGCCAAGGAGGAACAAGAGAGGGTGATTCTCACAGTTTTGGTGTGGCCCCCTGGTCTGAGGCTTTAGCAAGGGAAGTTACAACTGGTTTGTATGAAAACATGTTTGAGCCATTCAGAAATTGTTTCTAAGTAATTCCTAAGTGGCTGTATTGGATTTTATCTAGAGGAACACAACGTTTTTTGGATACTCCATTGAATTATTTCTAGATATTTTCATGGAGAAATCATAATTGGTAGGCAGATTTTATGTATCTGGCACATGGTGCCTTAAACTGTGAGCCGCCCTGAGCCCGTTCGTGGGGAGGGCAGGATAGAAATATAATAAATAAATAAATGTTTAGGTCTAAATTTCTCTACAGAAAGTGTAAAATATAACAGTTTAAAGTTCTGAGCCATGTTGCATTACATCATTGTAAGCAAATGAAACACCTGCATGAATACTAAGAATCTTTCAAAGAATGAAGGCTCCAAAAGACATGGAAATTGCAAGCTAGGGATTTTCCCTAAACTTGTGTACCTTATTAGGTATAAAGACATAAGTAAAGAGCAACTGTAAAATACACCTCTGAAATACAGCCATTTGGAACTAATCAAAATGAAACTATTTACTAGGGGTGTGTGATTCTCCCCCCCCCCCCTTTTTCCTTTTCAGTCTATTGAACCAGAATTTTGGGAGGGCTTCCTTGATCCCAATACCAGTGGAGTATTCAGATCCAGGATTCTTCAAAAATCGGTGTCTAATAAGGCCGAGAAGAAAAATGGGGGGGGGAATTGCACACTGTGGAGGCAGGGAGTACTGTGCTCCCTGTGGGCACAGCTGATCCTGGGCTGGCTTCTCCTGCAGCCCAGTTTAAACCGGGCTGCAGGAGAAGCCAGCCCCCAGCACAGTCAGCACAGAGCTTTTGGTTCCCTGCCGACCCAGCTGATCCTGGATCCCCAGCCCCAGGCTGAGCTGGTGGGAAGCTAAGAGCTCCATGTGGACACAGCTGATCCTGGTCTGGCTTCTGTAGCCCAGTTTAAACCAGGCTGCAGGAGAAGCCAGCCCTCAACCCTGATGGTGCAGAGCTCTCAGCTCCTCACCAACCCAGCTGATCCTGGGCTGACTTCTCCTGCAGCCCAGTTTAAATCATGCTGCATGAGAAGCCAGCCCCAAGCTGAGCTCCCCACTGGCACAGCTGATCCTCAGGCTGTGTTCTGCTGTCCATTTAAATTTTAAAGGGACTGCAGAAGACAGCCTGATGAACAGCTGAGAGGTGGGAGCAAACACAGCCTCTCCGCTGTTTTCAGATATACCCAATCATTCCCAAATGTACCTGGGATTTTTTTTCCCCCACAAGAAAACCGGAATACATTTGGGATGCCAAAATGTTCTCGAAAAATATCGAAAAGTTATTTTTGGGGTATATTTTCAGGTAGATCGAAATGCCCACCCCTACTATTTACATCTGTCTACTTGTTTTAATGCTCAGTAAAAACATTTTTTTTGTCAAAAATGTATCCCTGCATTTTATATTATTTCAGTTGCTGAGCAGTTTCACAGTCTACACTTAAACATGTTTCATATTCTTTTGTCTGCAGATTTTGCAAAAACAACTTGCAAAGTCTTTTTCTATAAACACATTTTACTCTTCAAACTAATTTCATTACTGAAACAATCACAGCCTATCTTCCTCACATACCAACTATACGCTTTAACATTGAAGTTCTTCAGATCTTCAGAATTCCCCTACTTAAATATTCAAATTGTCAGCTGCCTTATTTCTGAGAACTAATTAGAGTTTTAAGCTTATTTGGCAGTTCTTTTTTGGCAGCTGTTTCAATATTAGTTGCTGTAGATTTTCCAGCTTGTGTAGTCGTGGTCTTGGCATTGTAGAACCTGACATTTCGCCATTAGCTGTGACTGGCATCCTCAGAGGTATAACACAGAAAGATGGAGTCAAGGTAAGAAGAAAATTGGTAGGCAGGTAATTTATATCTATTCCAGAAGGTGGGGTAGGACTGATCTTGTAGGAGTCCCCCAGGCTATGAACATGCTAATAGAGGAGCTTTCCTGAGGAGGTTCTGTTTCCTGAGGAGAACAAACATCAGGTTCTACAATGCCAAGACCATGGCCACACAACCCGGAAAATCTACAGCAACTAATGAACTCTGGCCGTGAAAGCCTTCAGCAACATATTGTTTCAATATTGCAAACATATCTTAACAGGCTATCCTAACAGGCCCAGAATATACTGACTTGTGATTATCACAAAGCAGTATGGTGGCACTAGCTGGGGCTGAGGGTTGAAATAAATTTCCCCTCCCCCATAGTTCTCATTCTGTAAGATCTCAAAGGCTTGAACAGAATAACCCTCTACTCCACCTTGATAAGTTCTCAGTGTTTCTTGGAGCATGATCTGTACTTACAGGCTGTGTTTTCAGGAAGGGCATCCTTGTTAATTTAGGAAGTCATATTTTTTGGCATAACTGGTGATTCTGTTAAGTGTATACCTTTGTTTACTGCAAGAATCCTGGTTTACTGCTTTTAAGCTTGACATTTAAGCTACAGGGCTTCCTGGAGGATGCTTCAGTCCTAGATCCTTTCCAGTCCGGCTTTCGCCCTGGTCATGGGATGGATACGGTGTTGGTCGCCCTGACTGACGACCTCCAAAGGCATCTGGATCGAGGCAGTGTGGCAGCACTGTTATTGCTTGATCTGTCGGCCGCATTTGATACGGTCGACCACCAGTTGCTGACCCACTGCCTCGCCGACGTGGGGATTCAGGGGCTTGCCCTTCACGGTTCGGTTCGGGGTTGGGACTCCCTCTCCTGACCTTCGATGGGGCGCCTCTGGTGCCAGCATCGAGGATTAGGAGTTTGGGTGTGCTCTTGGACTCCTCTTTAATGATGGAGGCCCAGGTAGCAGCCACTGCCAAGTTGGCCTTTTATCATCTTCGGCTGGCTCGGCAGTTGGTTCCCTTCCTTGACTGCGATGACCTGGCCACAGTGATCCACGCGACGGTCACCTCGAGGCTGGACTACTGTAACGCTCTCTACTTGGGGCTGCCTTTGTCGCAAATCCGGAAGCTGCAGCTAGTGTAGAATGCGGCAGCCAGGCTGCTGATGGATCTCTAGGCGAGACCATATCCGGCCTGTGCTGAAGGCGCTGCACTGGCTGCCAATAGCGTACCGGATTTGCTTCAAAGTGCTGGTTCTTACCTTTAAAGCCCTCTATGGCCAGGGTCCGTCATACCTGAGGTACCGCCTTTCCCCATATGTTCCCCCAAGGGCACTACGGTTGGGGGACCAACATCTTTTGGTTACACCAGGCCCCAGGGATGTAAAACTCACTGTGACCAGGGCCAGGGCCTTTTTGGTGGTGGCTCCTACCTGGTGAAATGAGCTCCCAGAGGAGATCCGGGCCCTGCAGGACCTTGTGTAGTTCCACAGGGCCTGCAAGACGGAGCTCTTCCGCCAGGCTTTCAAGTAGAAGCCGCTACCACCATTGCGCCGCTACCGCAAAGTGCGGGGATGTCATCGGAGTGCATGATGGCCGAAGGCAGCATTGTCTTGGAATTTGCTTTGTTGTTCTGGGTCCATCTTCCAGAACCCATCTTGGAATTATGAACTTTCAGAGCACCAGCACTTTATTGTAATTTTGTATTGTTTTATTCTGCTTTTAACTGTTTTATCATGGCTTTGTGCCCTTATTGTTAGCCGCCCTGAGCCCGTTGGGGAGGGCGGGATATAAATTTGAATAATAAATAAGTTTCCTTTTATCTTTATCATTTGATGCTGGGCTTTTTCAGTGGTTGTGCCTTGCCTTTGGAATCCCCTTCCCTGTGAGGCTGGCCTGGCTTCCACCTTGTGCTCTTTTAGGCGCCACACTAAAATATACATTTTTACTTAGACTTTTAAATAAGAGATTTTATCTTTTATATGTTTTATGTCTGCTTCTGGCCACTTTATCTACATCATTTTAGGTAGCTAGCTAAGTATATTTTATACTGTGGTGCACTGGCTTGTTTCAATGGCTGTTTTCTGGTGGTTTTGTTTCATTATCTTAGTTGTAAGTTGTACTACAGCAATTCTTCATGGGATCCCTACGGAAATTAACAAATCTTAGGAAACAAATGGATACAGTGATTTTAGTACTTTAAGTAACTCCTCCCCACTTCCAGTGGCTTCTGACAACAAACAAAAAGTTGATTTATACTGCTTATTCTGGATAAAATACCAGATCCTAAATTTCTCCCCCAGACCCTTAAAAATAACAGGCATCAAACGTAACATTTAAGGAACTGGTAGCTGGCCGTGAAGCACAATGGTCATATTTGAATGCTCATTCAAGTGCATTATGTGTAGATATCATAAATTGCCTTATGCTGTTTTTATATATTTTTTTCTTCTTTCAGACATTTGTGGGGGGGTTTTGCATAGGTATCAGGGGGAGAGACATTAGTTAATGAGCTTTTTATCTTCAGTCTGTGATCCAGTCAGTATAAAGGCTTATTATCCCAATGAGAACTGGGGTCCTTGATGCCAGGGTAGGATGTTGCCTGTTCTTGAGGACCTGCCCAGTGCATATTTTTCATTTCTTAAAAAAGGCTTCATGCCAGTCTTTTTCACATGAACAGCCATTTCCTGTTCAATATGGAACTGTATACATTATTAAAACAAAAAGTTGTGGTGGCAGGGTAGGTGGGATCCTAGAATAACTAGAGTGTAGAGGGAACGGTAGGCAAATATATTAAAAGGGCTTCTTGGAGATGTTTTACAGAAAAGGAAATGATGAAACTGTACACTTACCAGTAGTCCAGTATGAACCATGCACAGACTTCTGACAGTACACTACTAAAGCCAATGAAATCAGTGAGCTTAGAAGGATGTAACTGTGCTTAGGATTTCACTGTAAGACAAGTTGGGTGTTCCTGTGTGCCACTTTCTAATGAAGGACCTGTAACGAACAGTGATCAGGCTGCAGAAACTTTATGGATTACTACTCCACACATCATTTATCAGTAATGTTAGGACTATATTTTCAGATATGTAAAAGGGCTTTTTACACTGGCTCTTCATTCTCTTGCTTTGAATTTTGAAGTGTTCCTTAATTATAAAAACTTACCTTTGATCTAGTTGTTTTGTTCAGTCACACAGTCGAGTCCACCTTGATCTAGTAATTGCCTTTGCATGTGTAACCAAACATTTGATTTGATCAGGAGAATAATTTGGCAGCCATAAAATAATGCAATGAAGCTAAAGAGTCCACAACATCGAAAGAGGGTGTTTGTCATGGAGCTTGAGGTGAAGAATGAATGTATTGTTGGACCTAGAAAATTGATCTCAGGAAGAAGTAGGATAATTTATTAATCTATAAGTTGATACCAACAAGCATGAAAATGTTTCCGTTACAGGATGTTATTGATACAGGTCATTGTGCTATGGCTGAACGCTTTGTGGATCTTCTTTTGCCTGTCCTCCTTGACCAACTTCATGTTCTGGATAATTCTCTAGAAGATGTGTTGCTGAAGAAAAAATGTGAAAAAATTGTGAAAGCCATTGACATCCTGATAAATATCCTTGATGCAAACTTCTTGTACCAATAAGCATACTGTGAAACCGCAGTTAACGCCTGCATCTGATAACCTTGTTGAAATGCCTTGAATTAGGTTGTAAGTATGGAAGCTATAGGAAACCATTTTAAAAAGAAATGTTTTAGGAAGAAAAATGATCTCTCACCAGTGTTATACTTTGACTGGGCAGTATACATAACAACATTATCAAGCCATGTTCCCCCCTGCCCTCCCACCGGGGAAGGAAGCCTTCCACTGTCACGCACCTGGTGTTGGGTTGTGCCCCTCAGAGGCCTCAGGATGGGGAGGGAAGGGGGGTTAAATCACTCAGCTCCTCCTCCTCCAAGCCAGAATACCCTCTGACACAATGTTGGTCTCCAGAGTTTTTCGACCTTGGCCTCTTCATTAGAGCCTCCTTTTATACCCTCCTCCTCCCTCTTGTGGGCTTAACTCACCCTCCCGCAGTGGGACCAGTCCCTGCCCATCTCCCTCAGACCTTTTCCATTGGCAGAGGCCACCTCTCAGGCGACAGAGGGCTCTGCCTTCCTGTCTCACGTCTCCTGTCCCGTGCCAGGTGTTCTCCATCCCCAGCAGCAACCTGGCCTCACGTCTCCTGTCCCGTGCCACTTCCGGTGCTGCAGCCAGTCTCCCTGGGTCCACCCACCCCCTTTCTGGCCTCCCCTCCTGCTTCCCACCAGCTGTGTTGCCTCTTCTGGTCCTCTCTGCCTTGTCTCAGCCATTGCTGTCTCTTGCCAGCCCTGTAAGTTTTCTTGTCAGGGCCGGTGGGCTCACCTGGGGGTCGGGCACAGGTGGTCTAGGGAGGCGGTTGTCAGGACCATGGCTGGTGAAGCAATGGTGCTCAGGGCGTTATCCTCCCGCAGCTTGCTGCCAGCCCCAGACAAACATTAAAAATAACTTTAGGAAGTTGTAATGTATTTGATCAAGTTTCCATAAGGGCTGTCTTATAGCTTACAGTAGATACATTTGTTTTTGTGAGTAGCTGGCTTGGCTTGGGGCTGAACAATATACATAAGAAGAAGAGAAATGGGTCCATAGATTTGCAGATACATTGGAGGGCCAACAACAGCTGGAGCTACTTAGGTTGCTTCTCTAGCTGAACATAAATAACACAATTTTTGTTTTCTTGCTTTGTGGTCTTTACCAAGAGGTACATCCGGTAAACTTAGTGGCCTCCAAGTGTGAACTGACCACAAACTTCAGAGCTATGTAATGATGTGCAGACAGCTTATCTGAAGTTCAGACAAATCAAGTGTAGACTTAGATAACTGGAAATTATTCTTTGTTAATTTTTAAACTGAGAGTATATTGGTGGTGTCAGTGCTTATGAAGTTCATTGCTTTTAACCTGTTGTAGTTAACAACTACAGATGTAAAATTTTTGGAAATGCTGAAGACATGGAAAATAATTACAAGGAAAAATGACATATATGCAAAGCTTACTTTTCTATCAAACAAATCATATGTTCCTGCTTTCACATAAAATGCATCATCTATAACTTTAGCATATAAAATTGGCATAGTTAGAGAATTTAACAATATAAATGCCTTAATGTTCTACAAACAAATATACTCCACAAACTAAAGGGATAATAGAGAGCTGATTTAAAGTTGTGCAGAAGTGTGTGTGAGGGGTTTTTTTTTCTGATGTTTTCCTCCCCTCCCCTGGCCTTCATACCTTTCATCGCAACTAACTATGGATCTAAGTGCAAAGATTTTCCTGCTAAATTAAGAGCTTTACGAAGTATCTCTTTTTCTTTTCACTCAAATATGACTATTAATTTGTGAACTGGCACGTAACATATTTTTATGTAATATCTTACAAATCAAAGAGTCTACTTCCTTAACAGAACATACCGCTTTGTGCAGATGACATATTAAAAGCACATGTCACAAAGGTTCTAACAGCTAGCAAATGTACCGACTTGATAGAACACCATTTCACCTGCAGTGGGATTGACTTTGGCTTTGGGGCAAAGTTAATAGACTCTGAAATGAGGTAAGAAAAGTAAAATCACAGGTCTGATCAAATAATTCTGAATTCTGGTTCCATTGAAGGATGAATTTCGATAGAACATTGATGAACCTTAGTAGCTGGCAAGATTTCAGACTGCTTTTCAATTTAAAAAGCTCTCTAAGTGTTCTTAATAAAAATAGCAAATTTTTTAAAATGCCCTTTAAAAACATGAAAATACCCCACCTAAAATTAAATTATAGCATCAATGTCTGTTCGTGTGTGTTTGAAGTGCTGTCAAGTTGCTTCTGACTTATGGCAACCCTATGAATTAACGTTCTCCAAAACTTCCTGTTATTAATACCCTTGCTCAAGTCTTTCAAACTGAGGGCTGTCCAGGCTTCCTTGAGTGAGTAAACCCATTTCATTTTGGGTCTTCCTCTTTTCCAGCTGCCTTCAACTTTTCTAGCATTGTCTTTTCCAGTGACTCTTGTCTTCTCATAATGTCACCAAAGTATAATAGTCATTTTAAGCTTCTAGGGTGAGTTCAGTTTTGATTTGTTTTACAACCCTCTTATTTTCTTTTTGGCAGCCCACAGTAAGCATTAAACTCTCCTCTGAATCAGTTTTCTTCCTGTCAGCTTCCTGTCCATCTTTAACACCATACACACTGATGGGGGATACCATGGCAAGAATTATCTTGGTCTTGATTGCCAGTGGCACATCCTTACACATAAGAATATTTTCTAGCTTCTTCATGGCTGCCCTTCCCAGTATGAATCTTCTGATTTCTTTGACGATGGAGGCAAGGAATAGAAAATCTTGAACGATTTCTTCATTGTCAACCTTGAAGTTGCATTACTAGGGGTGTGCACACACACAAAAATCAGTATTTTTTGGATTCGGGTATACCAAAAAATATTGGTATATACTGATATTCCCGAATCTCAATATTGGTATGATATTGGGATTCAGGAAATAATCAGTATTGCTGAATTTATTCGAATCCATACCTTCCTTCCCAGAGTCACGCTGCAGTAGCACTGCACCTCAGCAACTGAAGGGAGCACATTTAAAGAGACGGTGGTTTAAAGTTTAAATACCTTCCCTTACTTCCCTGAGTTGTGCCACTGTGGTGGCATGCCTCAGCAAGGGAAGGTATGTCTCTTTAAATACCTTCCCTTTCCTTGCTGAGGCATGCTGCTGCTACAGCGTGACTCAGGGAGGGAAAGGAAGGTATTTAAACTTTAAATAACTTCCCTCCTTTAGTTGCGTCTCAGTGGCAGCAATGGAAGGGATGTCTCTTTAAATAGCTTCCCTCATTGAGATGTGCCGCTGCTGTGGCGTGACTCAGGGAGGGAAGGGACAGTTCCCTTTAAATGGCTTTTGCGAATCCAAATCGCGTGCATGTCTTCCTTTCCCAAGTTGTGGCAGGGGCACGCATCAGCAAGTGAAGGGATCACCACATATGTAGTACAATAAAACTTTACAGAGCTATTGTCTGAAATTGCTATATTCTGTAGCTAAGAACTTGTAATTCTTGTTTTAAGCCAACTTCAATTTAGAAATTTCCCTTTGCTCATTATTACAAAGAAACCTCTTTTTCATAAAAAATACACCCTATTGGAATGATTTATTCCTTAAAATATATCCCACTTTTACAAGCTTACATTAATAGTTAAAACATCCCAAGCTGAAAACAAAAGATTCGATGGTAGAAGCTTTTGATATGTACACTGAATGTGGTTTTTTGTCACTTTTCTAGCAAACTTGCTGCTGATGTAGTATTAAAAACACTGGATCTTATGAGCAAGCTTAAGCAGCTGGTTCCTAGTATGGAAGTCAGTTTTTACAAAGTTCTTCAGGTAAGTTTTGTGTCTAAATCATTGAGATAATGTGTGTTTGAGTGGTGGCTCTCAGTTCTAGCAAGCTATAAATATTTGTGGTCAGTCATAGATTTTGAAAACATGTGTACTATAGCTTACTTTTCCCAAATAGTTCAGAGAGAATATATTTATGAAAATCATGTAGATAAAATATGAGGTCACACCAACCCCCAGTTCAAATAATAACTCTAGTCTGATGTAAAAATGAAATTGAATTAAAGATTGTTTATGGTGCAGTGGTGTAACTGTATCAAAACAGTATCTAGTTTCTGTAATGTACACCATTGTTGTTTCCCGTGGTAGTGAATGAACAGATCTGGCAACTTTCACTTTAATTCTTGGGTGTAAGGAACAACAAAGATGATAAGGGGTATGTGCTAATCTTTTCACTGGAAAAAGTACTTGTGATCAGTAAAATCTAGTTTTCTATCATAAGAGTACATAGATACAGTGAATGTATAAATCATTTTATTTTTATGTGCTTCCCTTTCCTGCTGTCTGTCTTTATAAAGAAACTAATTCTATGAACTAACAAGCAATTTGTGTCTAGGATCAACATTTGGTTTCGCCTTTGGCTTTTGCTTTAACTTCAGACCACAGAGAACAAGTTCAAGCGGGACTCAAAATACTCTTTGAAGCGGCCCCATTACCAGATTTTCCTGCCATAGCGTGAGATTCTTTCTTTCACATTAATGTTTGTTTTACTGTTTTCCTGAAGCGTTTACTGTTGCTGATAGTTTTTGGCCCTACATCCTTCTTAAACATTATTGTATATACTTTGTCATTACATGTCCTTACTCCTGAATGCATCTTTCTTTTGTGAATGTTTGTTCCCCAAATAGGCTTGGGGAAAGCATTGCAGCCAATAATTCTTACAGACATCTGGAAGCAGAGCATGTACCTAAAAGGAGCCACATGCAGGCGGCTACAACTTGTGTTAATTCAAAGAAGGGTTCTACTGTTTGTCCTCCAAATGAAGATGCTGCAACTTTCAACATTCAGGACCTGATACAGAAACTTCAGTCAGGCCTGGAGGTTAATGGCTTTTTTTAACACATATCTTGTAGGATAAAAGCATCTTTTTCTTGGCTAATATAAATGCAATGAAGTCTGTTCCAATCTGCTACGATCAAGTCACACCAGTTTCTGTAGAATTCATTGAACAAAGGAAGGGTGAAGTTGTACAAAGTCAAACTGCTAGGAAGATTGGAGACAGCCCTTCAGTATGAGACTTGAACCTACCAACAGCCGGGGATTCAGTCCACTGAAATGAGGTTATGATTGGGTGGCTCAACTTGTGCATATTGGAGTTACATTCTAAAGGTACAATAGGTAGAAACGTGCCCAGAAAGCCAACCATTTCCTATTTGGATCTGACAACACGTCCAAAAGCAAAAATACATGCTACAGAAGCAGCAGCACTGACAGTTGATAAGAAGTGACGGGGAGGAAGTTGCTGAGGTAACATAATGAGAATCCTAAGCCCGTGAACACTTAATTATGTGATAGAAGCAAAGAGGGCATTCTTCGGTCTGCATTTGTAATAAAGAGTCGGCCTATTAGTTTGTTTAAATATTGCTGGAAGATTAGGCATTTTCCCCTTCATAAAGATACTGTCCAAGAACACACATTAATAAGATCAGTGACTTCCAGTGAGTATCAACTTGTAAAAGGGATGCTTCTAGTGCCTTGAAGTATGTTTACTATAGAGCCGTCTGTATGCTAATAAGATAAAAGATAAATATTTCTGTTTTCAATGCAACATTTATGCTGAGCAGAGAGGACTATTTATAGAAAAATGTCAATGCAATTACATGGATTCAATTAACACTTTCCTTGAACACAGTTAGGGAGCTGCGGTGGCTCAAGTGGTTAAGACGCTGAACTGCAGGCTCTGGAAGGTCAGTAGTTCAGCAGTTCGAGACCCGGGTCCCTCATGACGGAGTGAGCTCCCGTCTCTAGTTCCAGCTCCTGCCAACCTAGCAGTTCGAAAGCAAGTGTGAGGATATCTGAGATAATGGCTGTATATGAGCAGAAACTATCTGCATTAGCAGTGAGTATGTGTTTAATATGCATATTTGTTTTATGTGCATGTTTTCTGCTATCTGCAATTATTTTTTTCTGTTTTTAGTCCAAAGAAACTAGATTGCAAGACCTTTTGGAAGCAAAGGCATTAGCTCTTGCCCAAGCTGATAGACTCATTACCCAGTATCATTGTCAGCGAGCTCAAGCTGAGTCAGAGGTGGGTAAAACCTGAAATAACCACATGCAAATTAATTTTTTCACAGACACCAGTCCAAGATGGCTTATTATTATTATTATTTTTTAAGTCTGTTAAAACTTTCCTAAGGCCATCTGGTTTTGCATATCTGTAGTGTCCTCAGGGTTAAGTTGCTTTGCAGTGTGGACAGTCCAAATTTTAAGCCTTAATGTATTAAATAGGCATTAGCATTAAAAATGGGAGCTACTGATCCAAAACAGTTCCAGGTAGTCAGCTGAGTTGGTCTGAAGCAGCAGAACAAATTTAGAGTCCAGTGGCACCTTTAAGACCAACAAAGGTTTATTCGACATATGAGCTTACATGTGCATGCACATGAAATTGAATGCACACCATTCCAATGTATTTGAAAAAGTATGCGTGCACGTGAAAGCTCACACCTTGAATAAACCTTTGTTGGTCTTAAAGGTGCCACTGGGCTCTAAATTTGATCCAAAATAGAATTCCCAAAGACCAAATGTAGTTACATAAGACATGTGTGTTATGGAACTGAACAACAAATTCTTAAGCCCTCCTAATTTTCTCTACCTTTTTAAAAAGGTTAGAACCCTGGCTTCTATGTTGAAGGATGCCGAACGCAAAAATGAAGATCTTGACGCATTATTGAAAGCACAGCAGGTAGAATCTGAACGAGCCCAAAGTGATATTGAACAACTATTTCAACACAATAGGAAGCTGCAAACTGTAGCCGAAGAACATGAGATACTTAAAAGATCTTCTATTGACCTTCTTCAAAAGTAAGGCATTAAACTGCTGTGAAAGATGCATAATAAAACACACACCCCTCTGAAAATCTGCACTCACTGAGTCTGTGTGTGTGTTAAAAATCCTATGATTATAAAATTGATATGAGATACTAATTTTTGATTTATTTACCTGTGTGGGTGTTGGGAGCAGATGTAACTTATGTAAAATATACTGCTGTCTATATGATGTAGTCTCTCAGGAAGCCACCTTAAACAGGTTGCAGGGTAGGAATGTTATGAATAAATAACACGTTGGTTTGAGTCTTTGGCATGGCTGCCATGAAACATTAAATCTTAGCATGTACCTTGTGATAGTCATTATCTGTGTTCAAATCTGATCAGGGTTTCATTGGAGACTTTTACTGATTGATCTGTGTTATCCACGTGCAAATACATATGTGAATGAGTCTCATTGGAAACCTCTAATTTTGCAAATAGACAGGTTAGCACATGGCACTAATGAAAACAAATCACATAACACTAATTCATTTTGATGATCACACTTTAAACTTTACAGGCATGAAAGCACTGAAAGGCAATATAAAGATCTGCAGGTGACATGTAACTCTTTAAATAAACAGCTAGAGACAATAAAAAGGCAGAAAGAATCACTCGAGCAACAGAATGACAAGTAAGTTCAGCTCCTCCCTTTAATAACTTTTTAAAGGTGCTTATTTTTGTGGGGTCGCAGTAAATATTTCAGTTTTTATTTGACCTAGCTTGTTAATGTACTGAGTATGTTTTAAAGTGGATATTTCATGGTTTGATCTTGGTTTTTCTCAAAAGTTTTGTAATGTGGTACTAGTTTGAATGTTAGACTGAGACCTGTAAGACGCAGGTTCAAATCCCCACTCTCTGGCTGAAATTCAGGCCAGTCATTTAGCCTAATCTACCTTGCAAGGTGACTGAGTGCTCAGTGGAAAGAGAGCAGAACTGTGTGTGTTGTCATGAGTTCTTTGAAGGAAGATTGGGATAAAAATATGATAGCTATAAGATGGTCATATGACTGTGCAACAAAAATTAAATATTAATGCTCTGAAGTTTATTTTTGATGTATACTATAATACTTTAGAGCATTTTGAATTTATGACAAAGGTATAGCAGTATTTAATATTTGTTTTTTCCTTTTTGCTTGCCTGACCCACAGCCAAACCCTAAGGGAGAGCTTAGTTGCTAGGTACTTTGCAGACTCACAGATGTATTCCATTATAGAAAGAGGGTGATAAATGCTAATACTTTATTTACCTTTTTAATAAAGCTGGATATGCCTGTTCTGAGAATCTGTAAATCTTTCTACAACATTCTGCAGTTCATCTTTTTGATCAATAGCTATGACAGCCGAGTGCCTGTTATTTCATTCCACTTGAATGGAAAGCCTGCCATCTTAAACCTAATCTTTCTTAGGAGCAAGCATATGCACGGTTGTCTTTCTCTAATACTGACTCTTATACTTGTCATTCTTCTACCATGTAATCTTTATCAGTATCTAAACTAGAGACAAGTTTGGAGGCAATAATAAAAGAGAATCCCGCTGTTTTTCTTGCAAAATAAATCCTATTGTTGTTAAGTGGAGAATAGCACCCCTTAAATTTCACAATATTTGCTCCTCTTTGGGACAGTTACTTTCCCTTAAAAACTGAAATTGCTCTTAATCATTTCCATTGCTTTTTTTTTTAAAAAAGAACATATATATACCTTTTATTCACAAAACTGGACTCTTCAGTCACACTAGGCCTAGTCCAAGAACACAGTAGTCTTCTAATCTGGACCTCCCTCTCTAGCTATTTGTTCCTGTCGGTAGAAGTCAAAGCCTTCTCACACCTTGCTGTGCACAGATCACTTGAAAGATTATCTGTGCGCTCTACATGGATGGACTTTCCCAGGCCTGCTCCTTGACAGGCAGAGACTGCCAGGATGTGGGCAGAACAGCAGTGTCTTTACTGACTGCTAGGGAGGACAGGAGTAAGTGGCATGGCTTTAATCACCTGCTGGTTTCAAAAATTGTAAGACCTGTTGTACCATTTTAATATATTGTGACTGGAAGCTGGAGGATTGGAAGATGAAAGAGGGGCAGAGCTTGCCCCTTGGACAATTCCTGAACAATGATTAGGGGCAGGGGAAGAGGTATAATTAGTGTGGAAACGTATAACGAAGAGAGTGGATTTTTAAATGTTCCTTTCCAATATATTTTTCTCTTGTCAGTTTGGGATACATTCAATACTCCAAAGCTGTCGCCACTTAACTATGCCATGCCACTAAAAGCAAGATGGTATTCCATTTGAGTTCAGCATTAGAGGTGCCATAAAAGTATCATCCAGAATATCATATACACCAGGGGTCATTTCATAGAAAAAGAGGTGCAGGAGCTCATTAGCATAACTCATTAGCATAACTTATTTGCATATTCCACATACCCTGACATCACTGGAAGTGTGTCAGAAGGCAACACCCACCGCTCAGGCTCCACTGGACTGTTTTGGATTGCTAGCTATTGCGGGGGTGTGTGTGTGCAGATCTGTCCTCGCAGAGGAGGGAGAGCTTGTACCTGAACAAAACTTGGTCTTAAAGGTGCCACTGGACTGTTTTGGACCGGGGGGCTGGGGGGGGGCTCTGCAATTTACCTGGCTGCTTCTTGCTCTGACTGAGGGCTGCTGGGAGCAGGGGGTGTGGCTTGTTGCATGTGCCCGCCCCTGGGCTCTTTGCTGCCGGAGCTCCGCTCCTGTGCACTCCTGCAGGAAATGACCCCTGATGTACACATACATACATATCTGATTTTCTTTCAAACATAGTCTTAAATGTTTTTAAAGTTTTTTTAAACTTATCCAAGCATCTAAAAACAATTCTAGGGTTGGATTCAAGAGTTGTTAAATGGAAAGGGGACACAGTTGTCTCTGGTGCCATTTTTTTAAAAAAAGCCTTAATCACCAAATGATTTTTTTTTCTTTAAATATGGACATTTTTAAACAGTATGAGGAAAAATCAGGTTTGTGTAAACTTCCTTGTTCTAAGGCAGCAATTCATATTGAATTTCCTCTTGTCATTCAGAGGGTGATGTACATTCCTAGGCTTCTATGCAGTAGGAATAGATAGGAATATAATACATTCAGATCCCTGTAGGTATCCCAGAATTAGACTTTTAGTGTTTCCTGGCATACTTATTTGAGGGTGGGGGAAACCCCAACTGATGATTTTGTCGATAGGGAGAAGGGGAATGGCTTATTCTGCAGCATTTTACAGTTGAATCATAAGATAAGATCTATGGTTATTTTATGTGACTGTCTTTTATGACTGTCAAATCGACTACTGAAGTAAAAGAAGAAACACCAGTTTTCAAGAAAGTGAAGCTGAGTTAATATGCCATTGTTTTAAAATAGGAGTGTTATTTTATGTCCAAATGTCCATTGTATTCTAGATAATACAATGGTAGGCAAACGTTACTGTAATACACTGATGAATGATGGAAACTTCTCACATCTTTGTTCTTCGGTGGAACTTTAATTTTTGTACCTTTCAATTTTTCAGAACTGTATCTCAGCTGCTAGAAACTGAAGAGCGTAGAAAAGAATTACACAAACAGCTTCAAGATAAAGAGGGAAAAATATCAAGTAAGTTACTGTTGAAGTATGCCAGCCTCTCTCATCTTCATCAGGACAAACACAGACTGGAAAATATTGCTATTCTGTTTTCTGTGTCAGCGTCAGGTCTGAAGGACAGCCCATTCCCAAACATGCATAAAAACTGTAGCTTCTTTAAGTGTATCCCGTAATTACTTTTGCTTAAGAAGTTGTAATTGCATTGCTTTTGCATAAGTAATGCTACCCATTTTTGTTCTAATAAGCTATACAATCCAAAGTCATTTTCTTAGGTACTTGCTGAAGTTTGGACAGTAGCCTGTTCTCTCATCAGGGCCCGCTGCAGTGGCCTTGTAGTAGTACGGGGATATTTTCTGATTTACTTTTGTGCTTATAAATATGATTAGGTTTCCTTGTTTAAAATATGTGTATGCTGTTTTCATTTTGTGGCATTTTCCATTAGAATATACACAATGTGACAGTGTAAAACAGTGACTAAAAATGAAGACAACAGGATTAAAATAGCAATGTGATCTATACAGAAAAAAGAATAAACTTAATTCTAGAAGATGAGTGTAATCATTTTGTTAAATCATAAAATGGTAACAATTATAGATTCTAGCCCTAGTAACACCAACTGTAAAAAAAAAACACCTTATAATTAAAAGGTTAAAGATAGGATCTAAAAAGAATCTGACATTGTAAACAGTCTCATATGACATCCAGCCAAAATAAAGGCCTGGGCAATTTTTTTAAAGGCTTAGTACTGTCCTATCTGAGTATATTCAGAGGTACATTTAGTGTTTTTTTCCCCCAGGTAAGTGGGCATAGGGTTGAAGCCACAGTCACCTCACACCTCAGGTATGTGACTCATGGCTTCAGATGATAACCTCAATCTTAGCCAAGCTGGATGGGAGTAGGTGATTATAACATCCAGTTGAATCCCTCTAAATATATTATTATACAGGCCTGAGATCACATGCAAGTACTTTCTTTATCTGGCCTAAGAGTAAATCTTTTATCATGGCCCAAGAAGCACTAGTTATTTCAGTAATAGTACAGCTCATGTGGGCAGTAGGACTATAGTAGCTAATTTAAGACAAACAGCTTCTATTGTATGTTTTGAGTGAGTTATTATTTTCAAGGTGAGGCTTTTTAAAAAAATGAAGTAGCACTTTTCCACTTTGGTGGAATAAATACATGCTTTAATAAAGCGTATTTCTTAAATAGTTCCTTTAAGATCAAATGTCTCCACAGGTTTCTGCAGCAGGGTATTTTTGGTTAGGCAGGCAGCTGTTGAAGACAAGTTATTAGTGTTCAGTAGATGGCAGTGCTGTGTAACTCATTTAACTGTAACTGATGCAGTATCTTAACCAAAAACATGGTGTTGTCTTACTAATTCTTCAAAAGGTTTGCAACAAAAGGTAAAAGTTCAGGAAGAAAAACTGAAAGCAAGGGAGAAGGAAAAAATAGATATGGAAGAAACTATAGACATCCTTAGAAAAGAATTAAGTAGAACAGAGCAGACAAGAAAAGAACTGAGTATTAAGGTAAGCAAAGTTCATGTCCAATGTAGTACTTTTCTGGAAGGGATGAGGAACAAAACAGACTGGAAAGGTGAAATTTCAAGGTTTTCCAAGCCCTTTATCCAGTCCCATTGAGAAATCTGGCAGCTTTGTGTTGGATCTGTGAACAAAAGAATCACAATGCTTTCACCAACAGTTCACTCAAGCCTGGAAAAGTTGGTTCTGAGAACTGGAGGACACTTTTAACCATGTGGGCCCAGTCGGTGTGCCCCGTCAGTGCAGATCTGCTGATGGAAGAGGCAGGAAGAGTGATTTTGTCGTCCCCCACCCCCCCTGCAGTGCCCCTAGCATGCATGGCTGTTAGTCCACATGTGTCCTGCAACTTTGGGAATCAGTTTTCCATGGGTGGACTGAACTGCTTGGGTTGGGATAATGGGAAAAATGAGCAATGATTAGTGGTTTGTGGGATGTCTTAAACCACACTGCTCAGAGTACACCTAGATACAGTTACTGTGTATCTTCCCTGTCTTTGTTGATTATATCTGGTGAGGATGATGGCAATGGCTTTTTCTGCCCTGTCTCCAAGTTGCAAGCTCTTAGCCATTTCTATGGAGGCATGGTTTGCCCACTTTATGGGAAAGATAAAATTATTTATCAACATCTAAAGCAATAGTATATTATCATTTTAATTAGGAGGGGCAATAATGCAGCCTTGCATACTACTGCTAGCCTACTTTGAAAAAATTATTGTAATAAATCTTCTTGTTCCCAGAACAAATCCAGAACATCATTCCTTTGGCTATTATATTTGTTTATTCATGTGCTACCTTTTTATTCTAAAGTATACTGTATTCTGTGCTTCTGAAAGCAATCCCACACTTTGCTGTCCAACCCTCTGTTTAATAAGTATTCCTGTTCTTATGGCTCCCCTTTATCCCCGTTTACCCAAGTGTTGCCTTTCTGGAAAACCACCGGGCATAGACATAAATGCATGTTTCTTCCTTGGCTTCTTACACATTAGCCACAGTCTCAAGAGACAGCATTGCCTTTCCTCCAGGCATCCTTTCCTGGAATATTGGGTGATTCCACTTGCTTTAGGGATATAAATTTCCTGTCCTTTGCTTCATCTATATAATCTAGCCAGTGCGGTGCAGTGGTTAAGCGTGGTGCACTCTAATCTGGGAAACTAGGTTTGATTCCCCACTCCTCCATATGAAGCCTGCCGGGTGACCTTGGGCCAGTCACAGTTCTCTCAGAACTATCTCAGCCCCACCTACCTCACAGGGTGCCTGTTGTGGGGAGAGGAAGGGAAGGCAGTTGTAAGCCACTTTGAGACTCCTCATGGTAGAGAAAAGCATGGTATAAAAACCTACTTTTCGTCTTCATCTGCCAGATAGTAATCTGAAGCCTTATATCGTTTACATGAGACCTATTTTATGAAAGAGTTAAATTAATGAGTACTTCAGTCAACTGTGCCACATGGCTGTAGTCCTGCACAGGTTGCTAGATAATGAGCAAATATATATACTGGAGAATGATGATGAAATAATACATAATGTTTACCCTAGGCATCTTCCTTGGAAGTTCAGAAGACACAATTGGAAGGGCGACTGGAAGAAAAGGAGGCTTTAGTCAAACTCCAGCAAGAAGAGCTGAATAAACATTCTCACATGATAGCCATGATACACAGTTTAAGTGGTGGTAAACTAAGTGCAGAGACTGTTAACCTCAGTTTATAGAACCTGAATATCTAGAACTGTATTTCATCCAAAAAGACAACTAAAATTAATGTAAATCTTCAGTATTATGTAAAGGAAATTCTATTTTTGGTCAGTCTTGAACATTACTCTAGTAAAGATTGTGCCTTTTTACAGTATATAGATCAACTTTTTTGATGACTCAATTGTCCCACATGTATCAGCTACAGCAGGGACCTCATTTCCTGGCTTGATAAAGCAGTTTTTAACCGGTATTTTGAAAATCGGCAGATATCTTTGGTGCACATCACTCGTAATGGAACTTGGGAATGATGATCCACTTCTAGGCTGATTTTTACAAGTATAGGTTTTTAAATATGGTTTTAAATGCTGTGTTATATAAATTTGTAAAGCAGAATCCAACTATCAAAGGAAAATATACAAAGCTGCTTGTATACCAAGAAATGAAATTTAAAATATTGCACTACACTATATATTGCGTTAATGTGCTAATAGAAGTGTCCTAGCCTATTCATCTCTAATAACATGTTAATGTCTAATTTTTGTATATGACTTAGTCTTTATTTTTCTGTGTTAAATACTGTTCAGTTCTTTGAAGTATTTCTTAGTTCTTCAGTTCTCTGAAAATATCTGTTTCGTCTGGAGCTGTCAATGCTGCCATCTTTATTGTCTCAGGCTGTATACAGTCACTTTTGAATTTTTGTTATGTAACTATATTTCCCACACTTAGGTGTAGAGATAATTTTGTACACTTTTAAGCCACTGCCTGAATATTTAATAAATCAACTCTGCCTAAACATTAAAGTAATGGCCTTTGAGAACATAATCAGCTTGTTCTGGAAAGGCAAAAGCATGCATTTAGCTAAAGTTCAATGTATGTCCCCTGTATTTTTTAATTCAAAAAATAATCTGTCATTATTTGGAGACACCACAATTCTAAAACTCTTATTACTCTAATTTCACTTGGTGCACTGATGTTAAGCTGCAATGTCAATAAATACCTTTTAAATATACCTCTTAAAATACCCTTTCCCTTTAGTTACTGCATCTTAATCTTTTACTTTGCTGTTCGGACTTGAATCAGTTACACTTTATAAAACTTCAAACTAATTGTCTCCAGCTCAATAGTAGCTTTTAACTTTTTAATGAACTGGTAGCTTTTAACATTTTGTGAAGTAGTTATTGTTCATAGATGTCTCTTCATAACTTTTTCAAGATACCATTTGTCCTTGAGAAGGGAAATAAAAAAATATACTCCAGATTTGTATGTATTTTAATGTATTCTGTATAGGCAACATGCTTGGATCTCATGTACATGGATTTTTTTTAAACCCTCATTTAACGTATTTATACTGATGATAAAATATGCTTTATTTAAAGAAGGTTGAGAAAAGCTGTTCTCTGTGGCCACAAATGAGGAGTGGGAGACGTGTTATTAAATAAAATACTCTTCCCAATTAAAAAATAATCTGGAAACATGTTTGGAAGAAGGAGCTGTAAAATAATCTTCACTGTGACCTGCCAGATTTCTGTATGCAAAGATTTTTGTGTGTGGAAGCATATTCTATTATCTAGTCTGTTGTAGAACATCCTGGGGGGACAGAGCCTGGACTGTTGGTGCATGGCAAGCAGTAACACCAGCTTCTATGAAGAGCTACCTTCTGAATGTGGACCAGCTAACCCAGTGCACCAGGTTGGCTTGGAGTAGTTCTGGTTACCCTCACACTATCACTGTACCACTGGAGAGGCAGTACCTTTAGGTACTATGCAGTGGGAAAGTATTGTCTCTCCCCTGCAGACTCAGAGAGATCTGGTGGTGGAGAGCGTTTGTTTTTATTTGACAACACTGTCTTAAATTCATCACAGTCCCAGTAAAGAATACTGAATGACATGGACGAATGATTGGAGTCGTCTGTATGAGCCACCCTTTTTGTGTGCTGATATTGGAGTTTCTTAATAAACTTTTACTTTTGTTTTAATTTTCAATTAAATAACAATGCAAAACAATACAGATACATGTCTGAGGAACAGCTGTGTTGGGTTATGATTGCCGAAACGAGAATCTTGTGGCAACTTTTTTGGCATAAGCTTTCTGGAGAAGTGGGTTCTAGTTTCCAAAAGCTTAGTCCATTATGAATGTGCAATAAATTCATTATTATCCCATACCAAAGAATGCTGAACTTCTGCTCTCCCCTAACATCTCTGGTCTACTTAGAAAAGTCACCCTGTGGATTCTTTTTTTTTTTGGGGGGGGGGGGTACCATATACATACATATGGCAAACAAGGCATTTCTGCTTTTTAAAAAATGAATATTCTGAAGCTCTTTGTCTGATGATGCTCATTGAATTTTGTTAGTGTTTTACTCCTAGTGCTGCCAGCATCATTTCTGCTGTTCCACTGCCTCCAGAGATTCAAATGCCTGGCTGGGTGATTTTCATCTGAATTTTTTTCTGATTTACCAGAAATCAAAAGGCTGAAGAATACTTAGTTGCTGTTTTAAATGCTGCAGGACAATTGCATTTGAATTAAATCTTCCCTCTCCCCCAAATCTGTCCTAATTGCCCCAAACAGTCAGCAGCCTTTGGCACTGCCTTAAGGCAGATGCCTGCAGAGTATTTGGCAGTTAACATGCCGTTCTGCCAACCACTTAGAAGAAGAAGACGGAGTTTGAGTGGCTCTTGACAGGTGCCTAGAGCCAGGCTGATCTCCCTTCTGCCAGATTATGACAGGTAAGAGGAATGCTACTGGGAAATGGGTTCATGGACTCTGCTTGGGAAGCAGGAAATCTGACTTTATGCTTTGATATGTGGATTGATGCTGCCATGGGCTCATGGACCCTGACCATATTGAACAAGCTTAACCTAATAAAAGTTTAAGACTTGGAGAATAGGGAGACCCTCACCTTATTGCAGTTGCCATTGTATCACTGTCGCCATAGTCCTTACCATTTCTACTGCAGGTGTGTCCCATTGATTTCAATGCAATTTACTTCCAAGTATACGAACACAGACTGTTAAACACACTAAAAGAATTTTGATACAGCCATAAGTATAATCATATCAGGTTTGTTTGTTTGGGGTGTTTTAGCAGGGACCCGATGGACACTGGCAAGATAACTACATAAATATAAAGCAAAGGCGAATTACACATGCAGCATGCTCTATACAATTTAAAAAAACAGAAAAAATTGAATTTCTAGTTAGCCAGTTCCACATCTTTTAAATTTGGCTGAGAGAATTTCAGATGAACCCTAAACTGCAATCCTTTGACTATAAATGCTTCCCTAAGAGTCACCCCAGATAAGATACTGGAATATCTATGGTGGTTCTCTAGTAGTTTTAATTAGTCGTAGCCATGTAGAGACCACCTCATGAGGAATGGGCTTCCAGAATTTGGGAAAGAAAGTTCAGTTTTCTCATCTGATATTTTCCTTGGAATTATTTGCTTTAAGCAAATGTGTGTAATCTGTGTCTTTTTCCTAACATGGCAAATGCCAACTCTTTAAGGCCACGTGAGACTGGGAGAATGGTTTAGGTGGGATAAATGTTTTCTCCCTCTTATGAGACCTATCCAAATTGTTGACACTGGCTAGTATTTAGCTAGAACAAATACTTGACAGAGATTGGGTGAGAGATCCTTCACATTCTCCCTCTGAGGTGGAGGCCATCTTGTGGGTGATTTCCATCCATCACTCAGGGAGGTAGGAACAAACTCAAACTTCCTGTTTCCTGTGGTGTTAGTCACCCTAGTTTCAGTTTCTTTCCTGGCTCACTAGGGGAGAGCACATAGGTTTAGGCTTTGCCTCACCTTTTACTTCATTTTAATACTACTACTTGCTCTGTCAAGTTTTTTTCTTCCTACCATTCTTCTAGCTCTTTAAAAAACACACACAAAAAAACCCCTTTACCCGTTGTTTCTGTCTCTCTCCTCGCTCCTCCCTCCCCCCCCTGTCTTACAAGGCCTGGGGCTATCTCTAAGTGTGCTTGCCTTTCGCAGGATTGCAGACCCTCTGCCTGAATGGCGATAGAGAGGGCACAGACGGCTTTCTCCACTCCGGAGAGCCAAGTGGCCAGAATTGCAGAGATCGATCGTGCGGCCGAAAAAAGGACCATGTCAGCCAAGGAGAAGTGAGAAGGTGGCGAGGCGGCCAAGCACGCCAAATTGGGCGCGCAGGCAAAGCCAGCACTAACTGGTGGCCATTTTGAAGGACACTGGAGAGCCGCCGGAAAAAGTCAGGACCGACACTCAATGCCCGCACCAGCAATGCCCTAAAAACTCTGGTCAGGGTGAAAGCCCATCTCTAGGCCAGAATGAGTCCTATGGAGGGGAGGAACGATCCGGATCTTCACCTGGTAACGTACCTGATGACGAGTCTCCCCCCCCCCTCACCAAAGATAATGCTCTACCTCGGAAAGGCCATCAGGGAAGAGCTTACCCAGTCCAGAGATCACAGGGAACCTCGCCCAAGGTCTCCCCCCGTTTCCCCCCCCTCCTCCTAGGGGAAATAAGGGAAATCGTCCCTGGCCCACTAAGGCAGCACAAAAGAGTCTTCCTTGGGAGGGATGCCTCCCTGAGTTTCTGGAGGATGAGTATGACTCTACCTCCCACACCCCCAGCAATCAGGATGACGGGGAATTCTCCTCTAATGATAAGGAAGAACGAAAACCACCAACCACTGATTAATCATTTAGATTTTTCAAAGGGGAAGACATCACCTACTTATTATCTAAAACACTCTCTGCACTCCACATACAAGGTTCCCAATCCGTTGGGGATACCCCAAAGGATGTGCAGGGTAAAGGTGATGGGGCAGAAATCACAGAAAATCCCCCCAAAAAAATCCCCCCCCCCCCCAGTCAACTATACTGAAATGGCTTTTCCATTCCCTGATTTTTACACCAGGAAAATGAAAGCAGAATGGGAAAAACCTCTTTCCCACAGACCAGTTCTAGGGTCCGTTAGGATACTTTACCCTGTTTCTTCATCTGTCTTAGATATTTTGCAGGTACCGATGGTGGATGCTCCAGTGGCACCCCTACAGTTGTCGGGCCTGGTATCAGAGGATGGGCATGGCAGCCTTAAGAATAACTTTGACAAAAGAGCGGAGATGGGCCTTCGAAAGGCACACAGGTCACACAGCTCCCAGGTCATTATTCTTTATGTTCTTAAAGCTTTTTGTCGTTATCAGTTTCTTCTATCCTAGTATACCAGACGGAGCCTAAGTGAGTAAATTCTGTTATCTGTTTTATCTACTTCCTGTTAGTACTTCCGTGGTAATTTTCTTTGAATGTTTACTGGTTATTATAGATTTCTAAATTTTTCATGCTGTTAGTGTTTAATCTAGATACTGCTTTCGGAGCACCTGAACTGAAACTAGGGTGACTCCCACCACAGGAAACAGGAAGTTTGAGTTTGTTCCTGCCTCCCTGAGTGATGGATGGGAAATTACCCACAAGATGTCCTCCAAACCTCAGAGGAGAATAACCCCTCACGGTGAGTA